CCTGAATACCCATGAACGTTCTATAGCCTGCATGGACACGTCTTGTTCAATTACCACTTACCTGCCCAATGCCTGTGTGCTACCTCTATTATAAGTTCCCCAACATGGGGTTCTTCTCTTACAATCAGAAACTTAAGCCTAATAGGTGCCTGTAATGTGTTAAGATTATGCGGCCAGAAAACCCAACTTCAGAGAAAAGATTTACCAAGAATTATCCCTGAAAGAATTAATGTAGACAGTCAAATTATGGTCCTAGATATCCGTCATCTATATATTTTATTCCAGCAAGTCTCCTAAAACTTTTAAATAACTTTTAAAAGATGTTACACACATAATAATTCTTCCTTTAAAAACATAAATTTGGGGCTTATAATTCTAGAAGAATTTTACTTTAAGCCGTTGAACTAAAGAGAAGTGCAAGCGTCATGTACGTCCTTGTCTGCATCCACATCTATATCCAAAGACTCAATGAAGACGGAAAGTCTTCAAGAAACATAGTTTGCAGATTGGCTAAAGTTAAAAAAAAAAAAAAGATTGGCTAAAGTTTTGCTTTTTCTTTATCTTGTTTGGGAGAAGAAGGAAGACGTGACGTAGTCACTACTTTCTTCCAGGGATCTTTGTGTCAAGAATCACTCGGTGTCAGGAATCCTTTGGGATCTTTCCCAGGAAAGCTGTCAAAAACATTACCAATTGCTAAGTCTGGTAACTTAGAGTGAACATGTCTTAAGCATATGAGCAAGGCAAATGCAGAAAAGTACCCTAAGAATTCATGTGTAGCTTACATCTCATAGGCTGATTGCTGCGTGCATCACCACCTTCCTGGGAACACCCTTGGGTTACCAAGGCTTGCCAGTCTATGTGATAAAATCAGGGTACATGGCAAGATTATTTTTTCAGCGTCTTTTAACAGATCATAGGCCAGGTCACAGATCATAGGCCAGGCCTTTGCTTCCCCATCTGCTCCAGAATACCCTACACTTGCAACTAACTCCTGCAATATGACACATGATTAAACCACAGAAGAAGACTGTGCTTCAAGAATTTCAACTTTAGTATTTAGTAGTACATTCACATCATTTGAATGGCACTTCTTACTTCCTTCTAGGATAAGGATTCACAGAAATGTAATAATGCAAAAAATTTAAACATACATATTCCAGCATCCAGGAGCTAAAATCATTACGTTCCTTTGAAACATTTTCTCTTCCCTTCAGAGTAGACCTTTCAAAGTAAGGATACAAAGAACTCAGATATTTTCTTATTCCTTTCTTGTAAGTTAGCAAGATGGACTAATGGAGTTACATATGGTGCTTAACTTTTCAGTTATTCTTAGTCAAAAAAAATTCTCAGAAAAAAATAATTTTTGATATTATTCAGAGTTTTCTAACCTTCTCTGTTATATATCGATTTTAAATTCTCCTCAGCTTACACATATAAATAAGGAGCATGAAAGTAGCAATAAATCCACACAAAGAATATACTTGACAGAGTTAATGGATTTTGCTTGATTTGTTCCCCTTATGGGGAGGCCAGAGGAGCTGATGAAGACACTGAATGGCTCAATGATTAAAACAAGTAGTGAAAACACCCTCCCATCCTGTGCTGTGGACATGTGTAAAAGCAGAAGACTGTGAAGATCAAGATTAAACAGGTAACTCAAAATCAAGAACCCAAAGAAATGCGCCCGCATGAGTTAACAGCACAAACAGGGCCTGCCTCACGCATTGGAAACAGAGAGGAGAAGGCATCTGAAGACCAGGCCAACCAAATAAATGCAAAGTGCGGTGAGTCAAAATGCGTAAGCAGTAGAGCATCTTGAACAGAACACTGAACACACTCATAAGACTTAGGATAAAGAAAAAATTACTACTCCTGCTCCTCCTTCCCTTACAGAATAGAATGGGCTAAGTTTTCTTAGATTTTGGTAGAAATCCTTAAGGACATTTTTATATTAAGATTTATGAAGTGGGAGATAGTCCTTGTGATGTTGGAATGAATTAGGGGCAGATGGGGCTAGGCACGGAAAGATAAGGGAAAGGCCCAGAATCGGGTTCCCATAAATCTGTGGGCTTGCATAAATCCCAAGGACACCGAATAGTCCAGAGTCAGGCTCCTACGCATCCCAAGGACACAGAGCTAAGACAGTAAAAACAGAAAAAAATAAATAGATCAGGTTCCCTGGCTCCAAAGTGTTAGGGAGTATCCCCCTTTGATGGCTACCAGACAATCCCAGAGATTAACCAGACCCCCACAACAGCCATATGTCAATCACTTGGGACAGCACAAAGACATCTCAGGGCCTTGGGCTCCCTGGTTAGGTTCCCGATAAAAGGTCAGCCCAAAAGCCCTCGGGGGCAACCCTGTTGGGACCCCTCTCACTTCTGAGAGTTTGCTCTGTATCTCTGCTTAATGAATTTCTCTCACTTTACTCACTTTCCTGTGTCTAGGAGATTCCTTCTTCGACTCCATGAGACAAGAACCAAGCTCTCCCGTATCACTTGCGTTGGGGAGTCCAAGACCCCCTCGGGTTTGGAGATTTGCTACCTGAGGACTCACGTGACCTAGGATAGAGTCATACCCACAGCCAAGGCTTATTGCAAGAAAAGGATTACAAAGTGAAATCCGTAAAGGGAAAACGCACGCAGGAAGAAGTCTGGATGAAACCAGGCAGAAACTTCAAAGACTCCTCTCCCAGTAGAGTCACAGAGGTTGTGCTGAATTCGACTCCGTGCCAAGGGTTTTCACTTGGGAAGGGTCATGTAGACCCCCTCTGGCATTCCAAACGTCCAGAAGGAAAGCAGGTGTTTGGCATAAGCCACATTGTTTCAACAAACAGTTTAGGTGCGGTGAGTCACTTTTGTCATTTAGGAGAAGTTTTATATCAGGACAGGGACTGTTTACCAGCCAATTTCCTCAGGGCTTGAGGAGACAGTGGCTATGAGCACGGTGCTGTCGTGTTGGCCTTGTGTGATGGTGGCGCTCACCTTGGGCTGCTTCATCACCACCACCACCTTCAAAGACGGGATGGCAGCCAAGGGCCAATGGTGCAAGCAGGTACTTCTAAAGATAGACGTCTCCGGCCTGTTTTATTAACCCTTCTACACAGTTCCCATAACTATGTCCCCCCCCCCCTTTATTTCCGTTCCAGATGCAGCTGGCTTTGCTTGCCTGTGGGTATTTAGAAGCTTTTCGATAATAAAGATTACTCAAATGAGTTTTAAAGAAGGTAATAAACCTCACCAGGCATGGTCTGAATTTTTGGATCTTACATATTCTAGAACTTCAGTGGCCTGAATATATTGTAACAGGGTAATTCCCCAAAGCCAACCTTGAGGTTGCTTAGCTGGGACTAGCATGCCGGGATGTACGTGGGTTCTCCAGTGACCAGATGTTCACCAGGCTATGCGAGAGATACCTTTCAACAGAGCATTTCTGAGTGAATCGGAGGAGGCCAGAAAGAAAATAAAGTTGATTAAGTTCTTCAACTAAGAAAATGCCGAAGGATCCGGACGCCCCGGGGGGCTCAGGGCAGGATCCTGGGGTGCAGGGATGGAGTCCCGCATCCGGCTCCCTGTGTGGGGCCTGCTTCTCCCTCTGCTTATGTCTCTGCCTCTCTCTGTGTCTCTCATAAATAAATAAAATCCTTAATAAAAAAATGCTGAAGGCTTTCTAGCAGCCTCTCACTTTCCTAAGAGCTTAGAGTCTAGGCGATGCGAGCAAGAAGTTGGGTATTAACTGCCTAAACTATTCAAAGAATCCCAGTAAATTCGGAGATCTTTGTCTAGGGAACATGGCAGGGCTTCTTCACCTTCTTTTTCCTTGGGAGGGCGAGGTATATAGATCTCAGAAACCAATGGTTTCGGTGTAATTTCTGATACCCCCTCAAGGGTGCTCAATAAACTAGTCTGATGTGTCATGAGGAGCATGCACCAGTCACCAAGGGAGCTAACTTGTCATGCAGGCAAATAGTCAAGTGCACACAGGTGGACCAAAGACAGTGGACGGAATGGCCAGATTCAAGAAGCGACTCTGAGACAAGAGGGCCTGGGAATGAAGAACCTGAATGCGAAGCCCAGACGCAGGGCCATTATGTCTAGATGGCTTGCTAATTTAAAATTTTTATATAGGGACACCTGGGTGGCTCAGCAGTTGGGCGCTTGCCTTTGGCCCGGGGTGTGACCCTGGAGTCCTGGGATTGAGTCCCCTGTCAGGCTCCCTGCATGGGGCCTGCTTCTCCCTCTGCCTGTGTCTCTGCCTCTCTCTCTCTGTGTCTGTGTCTTTCATGAATAAATAAATAAATCTTTTAAAAATAAATAAATAAAATGCTTATATATTGTGCTGTACAGCAATTCCACCAGTAATTATCTCCTTTGATGCTAAGACCCAGTGAAGTCCTTCTTCTAGTTATGGGAGATACCACTTTGCAGCTAAAATGCAAATATTTTAAATCGGGAGCATCCGTTTTAAAACAGGTTTAGCTGCAGTCGGAAGGCGAAGCATCACTAGGTACCGGACTAGGGCTGGACGTGGAGACAGTAAAGGCAGCCTGCTTTTGGTGGACCTGGGAGGCCCCTTTCTCCCCGTCCCCCACCCTGCAAACAACTGTTGTAACTTTGGCCGCATTTGCCAAAGGGGGGGTGGGAGGTGGGAAGAGTCTTGTGAAGCGCAGCTTCCGAACACACTGCGAGGGAGCTGGCCCGGCCGCAGGCTGTCAGTGCAGATCCACGCCCCGCAGGTGAGGCGCGGCCGCCGGGGCGCGGGCAGCACCGTGCGAGGAGGGCGGCCGAGCCCGGGGCCGCGAGGGGGGGGAACCCGGGGAACCAGGGCAGGGGGCGGGGCTCCCAGGGGGCGTGGCCTCCGCGGGAAGCCCCGCCCCCGCTCGCCGCTGATTGGCGGCGGCGGCCGGCCGCGAGGTGGGTGTGTCCGGGCGGCGGGTGCGCGCGCGCGCTCGCCCGCGTCGCCGGACCGGAAGGGGGCGGGGCCGCGGCGGCGCGCGCTCCCGGGACCGCGGGGCGCAGGCGGCCGGAGCGCAGGGAGCGCGGGGAGCGCAGGGAGCGCAGGGGCGCGGGGAGCCGGGCCGCGGCCGAGCGGGGTCCCGGTGTGCGTGCGCGGCGGGCGGCGCGGGCCACGGGCGCCATGAACACGGTGCTGTCGCGGGCGAACTCGCTGTTCGCCTTCTCGCTGAGCGTGATGGCGGCGCTCACGTTCGGCTGCTTCATCACCACCGCCTTCAAGGACCGGAGCGTCCCGGTGCGGCTGCACGTCTCGCGGATCATGCTGTGAGCGCGGCGGGGCGGGGGCGGGGGCGGGGGCGGGGGCGGGGGGCCCGGGCCGCGGGGGGAGCCGGGAGCGCGGGGGCGCGGGGGCGCGGGGGAGCGGGGCCGGGGCTCGGCGCGGGGGGCGGTCCTCGGCGCGGCTCCCCGCTGCCCCGCCCGCCGCCCGCCGCCCGCCGCCCGCCGCGAGTTCCCGGGCTTGCTCTTAAATTTTAATTCTGAGTAAGTCAGGCCGGTGCCTCCGCTTCCTTCCTGTTCCTCACTTCCCCCGCCCGCGCGCGGCCAATGAGGGAGCAACACAACAGCCGAGCCGCCGCCGCCGCCGCCGCCGCCGCCGCCCTTCCTCCCCCGCCGGGCCCGCCTCCCTCCGGCCCGCCGGGCCCGGGCCACCTCCCGCCCGCCCGCCGCCCGCCCGCCCGCCGCCCGCCCTTCCGCCTCCCTCCCGCCGGGTCCGCCGCCCTCCGCCCGGCCCTCCGGGGCTCGGGGCCGCCCTCCCTCCTCCCTCCGTCCGTCCGTCGGTCCGTCCGGGGCCCTGCCGCCGTCCCCCCCGCGGTCCCGTCCTTCCTGGGGGGGGGGGCGCCTGCCTTCCGCGGCTCAGGTTGCGGACCGGGGGGAGCCGGGAGCGGGAGCCTGGGGGCCTCGCACTGTCCCCGCCGCCGCCGCGCACCCGCCGAAATGCCGGAGACGGGATCTCAGAAGGACGCGGCCCTGCTGTGGATGCCCGGGCCCTCTGGCACTTTATTCTTGCATGTGTGCCGCCCCCCCCCCCCGCCTCACCCCACTCCCCACGTCCATCCACCTCACATCCTCACCTCCCCACTGTCCATCCTCACCCCCCCACCTCCCCCACCTCCCCACTGTCCATCCTCACCTCCCCACATCCTCGCTGTCCATCCTCACGTCCCCACTGTCCATCCTCACGTCCCCACTGTCCATCCTCACGTCCCCACTGTCCAGCCTCAAGCCCTTACTGTCCATCCTCACCTCCCCACATCCTCGCTGTCCATCCTCACCTCCCCACTGTCCATCCTCACGTCCCCACTGTCCAGCCTCAAGCCCTTACTGTCCGTCCTCACGTCCCCACTGTCCATCCTTACCTCCCCACATCCTCGCTGTCCATCCTCACCTCCCCACTGTCCATCCTCACGTCCCCACATCCTCGCTGTCCATCCTCACCTCCCCACTGTCCATCCTTACGTCCCCACTGTCCATCCTCACCTCCCCACTGTCCATCCTCACCTCCCCACACCCTCACGTCCCCACATCCTCGCTGTCCATCTTGCACCGAGTTCCTGCTCTCGCTTCCACCTTAGTTGCCTTCACTTCTTTGCCGGACAGGCCGGTCCTCTGACACCGATGTCTCCCCCCTCTCTCCCCCCCTTTTATTCCCTCTGTTGCTGCTTGTTAGGTGGTACTGTGTTTTTTTTTTTTTGTTTTTGTTTGTTTGTTTGTTAGATTTAAATAGACTCAGGAACTGTTAGCTGTTGTTAACCTAGAGCACCTAGAGCAAGTCTCTTATCGCCCTGGGCCTGAATTTCCTTTTGTCTGAAATACAAATAACACCCGGGGCACATTGGCTTGCGGTGGCGATTATTTGAGATAATGATGAAAAATACATTGCTGGGCCTGACCTGACACCCACGGCGAGGACTCCATGAACAGCCGTGGTCATCATCCGCTCGGACCACCCTCCCCACAGCCGGTGTTCACCCCCCCCCACCCCCCACCCCACTTGCTAGGGATTCTCTTTTGAGGTAGGTGCATATAGCCAAAGGCCTAATTTTATATCGGATTACAAATTTTATCCTCTTCTCAACAAATTTTCTGGATTTCTACTTGTTTCATCGTGGGATTCCCGTTACACCTGTGTATCAACCTGTGTATCCACCTAGATCCTGTCTTGAAGGAATTCTGTAAATTGTGTGTGCTGCTATGGTTGAGGGTCCTAAAGCCTTTATCTCTATTTTTAGAAAAAATGTGGAAGACTTCACTGGACCTAGAGAAAGAAGCGATCTGGGATTCATCACGTTTGATATAACGGCTGATATCCTTTAAGGAAATCTTTTATTGCTTTCTCTGTAGTCCTATAATGATAATACACATTGTTGGGTGATTTGGGGCCAAGCTGATGAGTCCCACTATCCCCTGAATCAGCCCAACTTTAGAAGTTTCCTTACCTGCGTTTCCATTAGTCTTAATACCTCCTCCTTCACACCTTGAGAAAATTTACCTATGGCTTCTCCAGTTCTTATTTTGCAAACTGACTTTAAATTTTTCACAGAAACGTTAAATAGATTGAAATCTCTGAGAGAGTTCTTCCTGAATCTATATTTCAGAAAGAAAAAATAAAATCTGGTCATTTGGATTATAGAAAGAATGTTACCGGTACTCAGCCTACCGAGATGAAGTATTTCACGTAGAGTCCCAAGAAATACATCCATATTTTATGATAGCAGAGAGAAACATATGCTAAAAAAGTGAATTGGCATCTGTTAAGATTTAGAAGGTCATTCATTATCAGAATGATTATTGTTAAACCGTATTAGCTTTTCCCCATTATGGTTTTTTAATAAGTACTTTTCATAATAAGAGAGAAATCTTACATTTGAAAGCGTTGCACTTTAAATTGGGGATGGTTTAGTATTTTCTCTTAATCTCAAGTTTTCACCTTTTGATATAACTGTCCATTTGGCCAGTTTAATCTTCTTTTAGGGTCTTAGATTAATATCTCCACAGCGTTGTTCCACTTCCAGTCTGATCACATCCACCTTTTTAAGATTAACATTGAATTAAAATTGGCCATGAGGATTGCACTGTCCGAACTTTTGTAAAACGACTGTCAGAACAGTTGAAGCAGATAACGAACCTGGGGAATTTACCTGATAAGGCTCTTTGCTGCCATGGAATTACTTTAACTTGTTTTTTTAGAAATAAGGTATTGGGTTTAGAAGTAGACTAGAAATTAGTTCTCTAGGCAGTTTTTTAGGACATAGAATATACTGCCAGAAGAGTCCTATGGGAAACTTGGTATGTCTGCTTTTAAGTCTGCATGTCATTTTAAAACCATCTACTCCAGTAAGAGGGAGTTTGGATCTCTTATGAAGGTAGTAACTTTATCTGGTGGATTTTAGTGAAATTTCCTGACATCTCAACTACTGTGTTCACATATTCTCAATCTCATCATTCGCAGTTTAGTCGGATTTTCTTAATGCTGCTGCTGAAACTTGAAATTGTGCCTGTTTTTAGAAAGAACTATCCTAGACTTCTCAATTCTACAACAGTAATTCTTAGCAGATACACATATCTAAAAGAAAATAATGAACATGTTGCTATCAGTACATATAAATGCATGTAATAAAATGATGTAGCTATTTACGTGTAATACTTAATACACTTATGTGTAATACTTAATAAAATAAAATAAAATAAAAATACTTAATAAAATATAAATAAAATAAAATAAAATGCTAACTCTGTTTCTCAGTGACACTGGTCTTATAAATTAATCCTTGAGAGCTTTTTATTTTCTTCCCTCTCTGGTAAGCTGATGAAGTCAAATTGACGTTCAGTGGCATATTCTTACCAAAGCACTTAGTGGACTGAGACATTTTGATTTTTACTGGCATGTGTCCAAAAGCAACCTGAACAATTTATTATACTTGGTTTAATTACGTGAGCTAGTTCATGTTTGCTTATCAGGAAATTTAAATTGTGATGATTGGTTCTATTCTAGAACATCCATGAAATTGAATGTGTTTGAAAGATTAAATCCTTTTAGACTTAGTCGATGTTACAGAAAGCTAAATATTGTGTTGCTCTGTTATTTTCTTATTAACCAAACTGTCTCAGCTAATAATGCTTAGAGGCACAGGGGATGATGCTCATGATCTCACTGATATATGTGCACATACACACACACACACACACACATAAACATATAAACTTAAACATATATATGTTTTTGATTTTGAAATAAGCTGGACTTTATAGTATAGCTTCTGTATATTCTTATTAAATTAGTGTTCAGACTGTTTCTGGGCCACCTCGCTTTTTTTTTTTTTTTTTCTATTTTAGTATTAGTATTGCTGTGGATACTTAAGAATAAGATTGGTTTAAAAGTTGTATGCTGCTTTATGATTTATATATTCCTTAATTTGTTTACATCTAGAGAATATATTTGATTGGAATGTTAAGCAGTTGTTTCTTTATTTATCAGCAGAATATTCAACAAAAAATAATGTAAGTATATATAGATGTATTTTAATAGATATTTAAAACCTCATTGTTTATGAAAGAATATGAATAGTATATATTTAAAATGTCTGACCTGAGTAGTTTGGTAAAAATCACAAACCTCCAGAGGGGTGACTACCAAGAAAATATCTCCTTTGGTAGTCTCTGTCTTATTTCTGTTTCTGCAGCTAATCCTGTGGTCCCTAGAATGGGGTGCATGCAGGGCAGTCCATAGATATATAAGGAAAACCACTCAGAGCTAGGAAGAGTTGCCACATTTTAAGTTCATTAGCTTTTTTTTCTTGATGTTAAGATGGAGCGGCAGCTTCCAAGCTCCTTACATGCTGTACTGGACACAGAGCTATGTATTTCTCCCTTTAAAATAAAAGGGAAAGAAGTTAAACCTTACTAGTAGTTGTGATAGGGACTGACATTGGCACTCACACCTGGTCCCATAATCAGGTGGTCACATGTCCCCTACAACATGCAGATGCTCTGGAGAAGAGGAGGAGTTCTGCAGGCCGGAAGGTTGATTGTGCTACATGCACAGTTCATTCACGTTCAGAATTTTGTAAAGTTGTGCAGTATAATCCAGTTAAGGGGGTTTATATTACCTGGTTTTAAATAAACTATTCCTCACAAAATGGAACAGAGGCTTATAAAGATTCCTGCCAAGAAACTACACACTGAAAATCATGCAAATGGTTTAACCACACGTGAGCAACAGGAAAGCAACAGAGCGGATGTGTTTGTTCCTCTTTGGAGCTGTGTACTTCATTAATGGATTAGAAAAAGAGCCTAGAAAGATGCAATCAAAGGCTGGCTGAGAAAATTCAACATTGGTCAAAGATACTATTTGAAATGCAAGGGGCACCTGGGTGGCTCAGTGGCTGAGCATCTGCCTTTGCTCAGGCCTTGATCCTGGGGGTCCCGAGATCCAGTCCTGCATCAAGCTCCCCATAGGGAATCTGCCTATGTCCCTGCCTCTCTCTGTATCTCGAATAAATAAAATCTTTAAAAACAGGAAAAAGAAATGCAAATTTACATTCCCTACCAGTGATACGTCATCTAATGAAAATACTAAAGTGTACTGTGCACATAATGTGTAAGTAAAATGCATATTTTTTGGGGGGGGGTTGTGCTCAAGATAATTTGTGATTAAAAATCTTTGGAGACTATTTCCAATGATAAATCAGAAAGGATATTGTTGAAATATGAGTGTACTAGGAAATGGGGAGCTGGTATTGCTACACAGGTGTAGGACTCTTTAAAGTCATCTTTCCACAGCTTTGGAGAAAAGATGGCATGATATTTGAGTCAACAAAATCTCTGACCTGTGTTTACAACTCTCATTACCCACGAATATATGTAATCAAAAACTGTAAGAATAACAAATTTTTGAATCATGTCAATTATTTTAAAATCTGTCTAAATACTTTTATTTTTCTTTAGATGTGAGCTGTTTTGATAGTCTTGCTAAGCCACATATCTAAAATTAGCATCTCTGTCTGTTGAGAAAATATTTTGTTTTGCTTTGGTGTTGTATGGGATTCACCAATTTTGGTACTTAAAAGTAGTTTTTTTTTTTTAAGATGTTTATTTATTCATGAGAGACACACACACACACACACACAGAGGCAGAGACACAGGCAGAAGAAGAAGCAGGCTCCATGCAGGGAGCCCGACTGGGTCTCCAGGATCATGCCTTGGGCCAAAGGCAAGTGCTAAACCGCTGAGCCACCCAAGGGATCCCCAAAAAGTAGTTTTTTTTTAACCGCAAACTAGAGTTTATCAGAAGTTTTGTAATTAAAAGCTACTAAGCTATTAGATTAAAACACTAGTAAAATTATTTATTTGTGACTGAAATTTATTGGTATGGTTTGATTTAGAGCTTTTGTTGCCGATGAGCGTGAGGGTTGAGCTATTTCTATAGAATCTTGCTAAAACAGAAATCCCCTGAAAGTGTTAAGTGAATGATTGTGATAAATGAATTAAAATATGAAGGTGAAATCTATGGAATCAAAATGTGCTTCTGTGTTGTTTTTACCTAAGTCACCCTCCTGTTTGTTATCGGCACAGTCTGGAGGTAATTTGTAGTTAGAGATATGTCTACTTCTGTATTTTATTTGAACTGTATTCACTTTCAAGGGATGAAAAATTAATCAACTTTATCTTTTGATTGGTTCAGTTAGTTAACTGGATTTTAGTACTTCATTTTACCTTTATTTTGAGCATGCCTTTTGTGCCAAATATTTGGTTAGGCATAGGATTATTGGGTTAAGTTTTGATCCCTGCCCTTGAGAATCAACAAAATGTTAAAAGGAGCAGATGGAAAAAGCTATTTGGATGGTAAGAGTAATGACTGTATATGTACATATCATTCTACAAGTCTCAAAATATCCAGATTAATGTGTCACTTTGGCAACAGGCATACCTAAATTATATTCATATATTCATAATTCTGGTCTAGCCTGGTGTGACTAGTAAGTTAATACAACTTGGAAGTTGACAGATCATTGCTTTGGTGAATGAATAAATGTACATAAAAAATCATTTCACTTTGGCATATCTTTGATTATCTATGTTCTTTAGTTTTGATGTTTCTGTTTAATGTTAGAAAGAAGCTTTCTAGTGAAGATTTGAACCCTCTTAGAAATAATCTAGTGAATGTAGTCACCACATGCTGAGCAGTTGGCCTCAAAGGCTAATAATCATGGGCAATAGCTTAATAAGAACAGATTTTTGGGATTAATAGTGGTCACAAATGCATTTTCCCTTCATTTTATGTCCCTAATTTTCCAAACAGAACTTGTTTTTTATATGTCAAAATAGTGGCTTAAAAGAATTGACTTCTAGAATGTTCCATAATAAAACAATGATGTACCTATGATTAACGTAAAGGAAAAAGGTTTGGAAGTTTTCATTTCTGTAGTGATTCCTTGATAATTTAAAGACCTTGGAACTACGTAAGTATTCTGACCTAATCTGGCGGCAGAGACCTGTATTAACAGCGAGATGGGACAGGAATAGTTGTCTCAGTTTCCCTGACTCTGTGCAGAGCCCACAGTGAGTTGGAGTGTCAGAAATTTTGTAGGGAAAAGTGATTTAGGAGAATGCTCTCTTTCCTTCCAGGAATTCTAATCCCTTCTGTTTCTCCCAGGGCCTCAGTCTGGAGCACACAGGGGTCTAAGACCTTGTAGTAAGCATGGAGGGCCCTAAGTAGTGCAGTTGCTTTAACAAAAGCAAGGATTTCCTTTAGGGAAATAATCTTTTGTCCTAGAAAAGTTCAACTTCTTGTATCCATCTGCTTTGTTGTTGTATGCGTTAGGATTTTAGCAATTCCCTCAAAAGTTGTATTCATTAGTGTAAGTTAAACTATTTGCCTAGAACTGCTTTTAATTTGAAGTGACAAAGATGCAATTCCTGATGAGTTATCTAATTAATTTTCATTTTAATGTAGGCCCTGAACCAAGTTGTCCTTTGGGACAAGATTGTTCTGCGAGGTGATAATCCAAAGCTGCTGTTGAAAGACATGAAAACAAAATATTTTTTCTTTGACGATGGAAATGGCCTCAAGTGAGCAATTCTTTGTCATCCTTTACATGTAATTAAATGTGCAGGGGAGAGAATGATGTAATATATTTTTTGTTTTAAAGAAAATGATCAGAGGGTAAAATTGAGAGAGAAGATGTACAGATCTGAACTGGAAGATTGGGTAGAAATACACTTTTATAGAAACAGGTCTAAGATGAGCACTCATTTCTCTTGCAGTAAGTGAAATGGCCCAGTCACATTAAGAAGGGCCCATGGCTGCTTCCACTCTGCCGTACGCAGGGGACATGGGCCTGCCCACCTAGAGTAGGACTGCAGTTGGCAAAGGGGCTCTTCTGGAATGTGAGGCGAAGTTGTCATGGAGCCATTAAGGAAATAGAGTGTCCGTCTAAGGAGTTGACACCGAGGGTTCCAGCTGTGCTTAACTTCTCTGAACCCCCGTTTCCCTTCATGCCCAGCAAAGGAATTAGAATGAGATTTTAGGTCATTTTGTAGCTCTTAAGCTTTGTGAGTAAACATTGGAAAGGAATTGAGGGGAGAGCCATTGGAACCAAACTTGTGGTTTCGCAGATGAAAAATGGTGGCCATGAGAGATAGTGATTTGTTCACAGTCTAGGTAATGATAGAATTAGATTTCAAATCATCGCCTTCTGATGAGTAGCTCAGATCTCTTCATATATTCTCTGTGTTTTACTCATTTAAGCTTTTTGGCCGATAACTAGGCACTGTAACTCGTGAGTTTAGATAGGTCATCATGGGGTGCCTGCAGAGATCATGCTGGTTTTCCAGCGTTGTTCCTGGGTTTTAGAAGTTTTGGGAGGACTGGTTTTAGAGTATTTGAACCCCAGTTCTTGAGTTAAAATGTCTTTAAGCAATTAAAAATGTTTCCGCCAAAATCTAATAAAAATGTTTATTATATCTTTTTATAGGGGAAACAGGAACGTCACTTTAACTCTATCTTGGAACGTTGTACCAAATGCTGGAATTCTACCTCTTGTGACAGGATCAGGTCACGTATCTGTCCCATTTCCAGATACATATGAAATAACGAAGAGTTATTAAATTATTCTGAATTTGAAACAACATATTTTTATACTTAATGAATCATATCTTGTTTTTCTCTTTCCTTGCATCTTCATTTGTTTTGTTTTGTTTTGTTTGGTATAAGAACTAATTATCAAAAGGCATATTTGAAGGGAAAGGCTAATGTGCTACGTAAACTTGATTTTACAAACAGAACACACACAGAAGGGTCACCAGAGGGGAGTATTATAAAAATAAGACAACTACATAATAAAGCTTTGTAAAAAAAAAAAAAATGAGGTATTCCCTGTATGTCCATGATTCTTTATGGAATATAAAGTGAACATGAAGAGTAGTTAGAACTTTTAGGTGCCTGTGGAGTTCAAAGAGCCGTATTTTATGCCTTGCATTCATGCAAGTTCACATCAGATGTGATTCAGAAGTGGACATTCTCTTTTAGGGTTTGTCTCATTACGGGAAAAATTTAAATGAAGACACCTGGTTTATAAAATAGCCAAAAGTGATGGAATTTTATTCCATTTGTCTTAGGTATACTCCATAATGCTTGTTTTTCTTACAGGGGACTAGCAACTTTCTCCACTTAAAGACTAAATACCTCTTTATATGCTGTAAATCATTCTAACTCATTTTAAAGTCTCGTAAGTCAACCAAATATGTGTGTGTCAGTGCTTTCTCTAATGTTCCTTTGTATTATATCTTCGTGTGAATTTTTAGCATTGCCATTGAAAGTTGAAAATGTTTGCATGGTTTACCTTCTGAGTTAAATTTGTTCTCGTGAGCATGCCTAGTGCCACTGAATGGTAATTATTTAAAATTTTCTGTAGGTCCACATTTTAATAATTACTGGGGTAATAATAGTATTTGTCGGTGCGCTTTTCCACCTACAAGCACTCTCCTATATTTTACTGTGTGTTATCCTCGATAATATAATGAGGTAAGTAGCACAAATGTTAGCTCTTGGCAGATGAAGAAACTGAAACCCGGAAGTTTATTGAATTGCTTTGAGATTGCATAGCTAGCACAAGGAGGGGAGTTAAAATTTGACTCAGATTAATTCTCTAAGCCTGTCCTTTCTCCTGTAGCTCAGATTACAGACTAATCAAAATTCACTTAGAGTTTTCATAATTTTTTTTTTATGTTACCCTGGACACCCTCAAGCTGCCAAAAACTTATGTAGAGATAATATCTCATTTCATTCGCTGCATAAATTTTACATATGTTAAAAGTAGAAGAACCCAAATATATACAGAAATGACTTAGAGATTAAATGCAGAATAATACATGGTTGAATATATGCTCATATTTAAAATGATTTTTTTCTACAGTAAGCAAATAACCCTCAAGGAAGCAACTACTGATCAATTACCCTTAAAAGCAAGACCAAACACTGTAGTTACACTATCAGCAGTAACCAAAAAGGGCTAATGTTTTCTAAGAGTAGGTTTAAGCTAACAGTTGTTGTATTTACCTCATAGGAAATGCATCACCATTTTATTACGTTGGTTTTAACGGCTTTTGTGTGTGAGAGCATGTGTTCCTGTCAAAGGTCAGAGCTGTCCTATCATGAATACTGGACTGGGTGTGGCTCCCAGCACTTTCATTAAACTGTTCAGGGTCTCAGTTTCTTTATCTGTAAAATGCCAGAGTTGGACTCATTGACTTAAACCACACGAGTCTATAAGTGGTGTCTCTTTGTGAGAGAGATTGAACAGATGAGCCCCTTAATGACTTGAAGACAAGAAGATGACCGAAAGACCAACATAACTGTTCGTGCCGACTTGACTTAGTTCCTGTTAGATTTTATACCCAGAAAACTTAACCTTGTACAGTTTGTACAAATATTCCACATGGAAACTTAGTCTCTGTAGATGTCAAAGCTGCAAAATGGGGTATGTTCACTCAGGAGGGCGAGCCCAGTAGACCTGCAGGCCTCATCAGGTGCAGGTGCTGGCGTAGGAGCGCCTTATACCTCTGTGTGGTGAGTGGGTCTCTCAGTTTGCGAGTGGTGAGTGTTGAAATTTACTTGAGTTATAGTTGATTTGACCAGCCCACCTGCCCTTTTTTTGGAGTTTGGTGAGGAAGAGGAGCAGAAAGGCCCAAACAGCACAATGGTTAAATAGTTTTTTGTTTTTACTCAACTACGGGAAACTGCTCAGGACATGAATGCTCCAACAGAGGAAGAAGAAACCTCTGTCTCAGGAACTCCTCTGTGGGTGCGCGCAGCTTTGTTGGTTGACCATGATTCCCCCATCTGTGAAAACAGATGGCCTTGTGTCCAGTTTGATGAGCGTAGCATCTACCTTAGTGTCAGTGTTTTCAAGAAGTCTCACAAAGTCTCCATATAGACCCCAGGCTTGAGACTTAAACCTAAGTATTACTAGAAATGCCTGAGCCCAGAGGATACCGGGGACGGGGGAACAATTGCAGAATGCTTATCTAAAATACTTAGGGTGAGAAGTGAACTAATTGTAAATGTGCTCACATACTCCTTTTCTGTAGCAGGCAAGCAGCTCTGTCCTGTTTATTTTCCCCGGATTGATGAGATTTGGTTTCTTTGTGCTTAAAGGAAAATAATAGAAAACTTGAGAAAGTTCTTAAGGGTGTAAAGGAAGGTGGGTTATTTCAAATTTCCTTTTTTGGAGCTGTTTTACCGTCCTTGGGTGGGTCTGGCCAGCCTGGTTAATAGCGCTGAGGTGGGCTTGTATGGTTACAATGGACATTTTTTTTCACTATTCTACGTAAAGCTTAGTGTGACCTAATGCTTTGGATCTCTGAGGTGTTGGTTATTGGAGGTGCTATTTTATAATACTTTGAATCTGACATGAAATGAGTGTAGAGAGAAAAACCATAAGCTGTGAACTTTGACCGTACACAACACCTGCTCCTTTCAGAAGCTTTTCCTCTTAGAGAGCTTGTGTACATCATGTGTGGCTGCCAGCAATTTAAAGAGATGTTTCAAAAAGTTGTTGCACCTTTTGATGCAATTTGGGAAATTGTTTACTTCACAAATAACAGATTGATAAAAAAAAAATTCATGAAAATACTGAAGACATGTTTGAGGATTTTCTTAATTGCAATAAACAGCATTTTTTCTAAAGAAAATGAATTTTGTTTACGAGTAAAAGGATGCATTTTATGAGACTTTTGGATTTACGCTTTTTATGTGAAGCTGCTGAACTAAAAGAAAATGGATGAAACTAAGTCTAGTAAACTTTTTTCTTTCCTTTCCTTTTTTTTTTTTTTCCTTTTTGTGGGTGGGGTGGGGGAAGGTTATTTACACCTAAACTATCTCCTCCGGTGTATGGTCCTATACTAGACTGTAAGCTCTTTGAGGGCAGTCTCGTCGGATCTTTGTATCTTCCCCAGCGCCTAGCATAGTGCCTTGCACACGATAGGCGCCTAATAAATACTGATGACGAATGAAGTCCTTGTCTGTATAATGCGGCCTGACCACAGGGGTTGCTCTGCAGTTTTAACACTCTTCTTCTTTTGTGAGCACTGCCCTTTTCGCTGTTGAGCTCCTGGTGACGGTCTATCTGACTTCTCTCCCCCATAGCCCACTGGGGTTGCTCCATCCTGGCAGGTGCTGCCTCTCTCCCGTTCCTGGAAAAACACAGTCCCAGCTTTTGGTCCTGAGTAGAGCCACGGGATCGTGCCTGGAGGAGAAGATGGACATCTCAAGTGTTCACCTTAACACAAGAACTCCACAATGTAGACCTGACTTAAAAACCTCAAGGAGCATGGTTCACTCATGAAGAAACGGGTGAGGACACAGCCACGTCCACCTCCAGAGTCCTGGGTGCCCAGCCTCTGTGGGTGTGGGCCCCGTCCGGCTGCACTACGTCCACAGACTCCTGGGAGTTCCACTTTTCAGCCCAACTCAAGACAACCAAGACAGTAGAAATGCTCCCTCAAGGGTAGAAAATCAGCTGAGTTTAGAGGGTTTTTTTTTATTTGACCTGAGTGTATGTTATCTGGGATGACACAAGAGGTCAGCTGGATTTTGTCTTTGTTCCAACTCTGGGCAACTCTGTCTGAACTTTAATCTTTAGACATTTGCCCCTGTGCTCTTTTATCTTCCTATTCCCCAGATGATAGGTTAAAGCAGGAATTAGGGGCTCAGCAAACTTGCCTGGTTTCATGAGTTACCCAAAGAAAATTGACCACTTGCGTGGGTGCACCCTGGTGTACCTGAAGAGCCCCCAGGCGTGAAGTCACCGGGCCCTTTCCCATGAGCAAAGAGGCATCTTCCCCTTGGAATATGTCTAGTGGATACGCATCCCACTGCTGTGTCTGCTGAGTAGAGTTGGAAACAGGGCCTGGGAGGAGTAATAAAGGACCTGAGACGAAGCCTCTGCTCCTTCTGAAGGCCCCCACTCTGTGCCCTCCTCCCCTAGGAGGCTTGGAAGTGCTGTAACCTACCTGAGAAAGGACGGGAGTGCAAAGCACCTGAGAAGCTGATGGCAGTGAGTCCAGAGGAGGATCCTACGATGTCCTGAGGGATCCGAAGCAAGGTCGTGTGCTCAGGGGAACTAGATCCCTTTAGAAGACGCCCCTAAGTTATGCGGGTTTGAGAAGTTTTAGGGCTTGTACCATTGCTGCAGCTTCCGCCACTGCTTATAAGACTCCCCTAACTGTTGGGGTGCCGGGGTGGCTCCGTCGGTTGAGCATCTGCCTTGGGCTCAGGTCATGATCCCAGGGCCCTGAAATGGAGCCCTGCCTCCGGCTCCCTGCTCGGGGGAAGTCTGCTTCTCCCTCTCCCTCTGCCCCTTGCCCCTCCCTCTGTACGCTGGCTCTCTTGCTCTCCTTCAAATACATAAATAAAATCTTTAAAAAAAAATGACTCCCTCACTGTTGCACTACTACGTATGCAGAGACAAGCAGGGACTATGATGCCGAGTGGGAAGCCTGCTCACCTGCTATTAAAAGTTCACGAATGCTGTTCTGTTGGAAGAGGCTGATGACTACGTGATAGTTGCTCCCAGCTCAGCGTCAAGAACTCTATATTCAGGTAACACCAGCTGTTGTAATAGAGAAACATCCAAATTTGAGTAGCTCAGCGAAAATAAGAGTTCATTTCTTGCACCTGCGAGGAGCCAGGTGGTGGTCCTGCAGCCTTCCGTGTAGTGTGACTGGAGGACCCAGGTGCGTCTCATCCCAGGACTGCCATCCCCGGGCACACAGCCCTTCTACCTGGCTGGTCAGGGTTGGGAAAAGTGGAGAAATCTTACCTGCTTAGTTACCTTGGCCCAGAGGTGACATGACCACCAAGTCCTAGATCCTGAGGTGAGAACTAATTGCAGGACCACGCGTAGTGGGAAAGAGTGTTCTCTTGGGGGGGGGGGGGTCACCTGGGTGGCTCAGTGGTTGAGGGTCTGTCTTTGGCTCAGGGTGTGATCCTGGGATCCCAGGATCAAGTCCCGCGTCTGGCTCCCTGCTTCTCCCTCTGCCTGTGTCTCTGCCTCTCTCACTCTGTGTCTTTCATTAATAAATAAAAAAATAAATATTAAATAAAACAAAAAAGCAACTATGAGCTGGGCAAGGAGCATAAATCTTGCAGAGCTAGTTTTCCATCACATTTTGCTTATGCTCCCCAGCGTGGCCTGACTCATGCCCTGCTTGATTCCACACTGGGAAGAACCCATTCATTCTTTTGAACATTTTATATATATATTTTTGCCTATCTTGCCATGTGTCTAAACATTCAGGATTTTCTGAAGGTGAGCGTATTAGGTTTTAAGCGTTAGGATTCAAAACACCTTACCAGGCCTTAGAGTTACTTGACAAATCTAATCTATGGAGTATTCAGAGCAATTTTTACTTTTTAAGTTTCAGTGAAGGAGTGCCCTGTTCACATGGATTTCCTTTTCTCCCCCTGGTTGCTGCTGTTTGTATCACTTGATGTCCTTTGAATTCGCAAAAGATCTCCCAGTGAACGCTGCTCCAAGCTCTTGCCCACCTGGGATCCAGTGTTGTCCATGCCATTTGGACCTGGAAGAGACATCTGGGAGTAGGTGGTTTTAATGAGTTTGAGAGCCTCAAAGCTGCTGGGACGCCGTAGCTTCCCCATAAGGAGCACAAGCAGAGTTTGCTTCACTGGAAGTGCATCACAGGAGAACGCGCACACAACTCGGCCCCCTCTACTGCCTTGCTGATCCTCCAACTCCCCAAGCAGCTTCCTGTTGCACGGTCACATACTCCTTTATTCCTCTGCCTGGATTATTTCCTCTGTTACTCTCCATTCCCTAGATCTTTCTGATGCACAATCCCATCGGCGCCCCTGCCTACCCTCTTGAACATTATACTCTTGTTATTCGTTGCCCTTTTACTTGGCAGCATCCTTATTGATCGCTCTCGTCGCCCCGAGATGGGTGTATACACACTTATATACAAGTGTCCATATATGACAGATGGGGGGGGGGTTCTCTTTGTTTTGTTTTATCCATATCTCCACATAGTGGGACTTCAATACATGTTTATTGGATGAATTCATGTAAAGCCAGAAAATGAGTCTGATGGGTAACTTTGTTACTCGCTTACACAGGTATCTCCTAGTAGTGTTGCTCGATGATAATGCTTAATATTAAATAATGGAAGATAGGATAGGGGTCGGGAGTAACCTACATTTGAAACAGTTGAGCAGAGGACAAATTCTTAGAAGTTTATAAAATCTTTTGCCTGTCTTACATTTCCGGTTGGAGAAAAGGATCACAGAAAAGTGCACAAAATATTTGTATATAGTTCAATGAATAATCACACAGCGTGCGCCTCTGTAACCACTACCCCAAGCCGCCCTCCCCTACCTCTTCTGGATCACAACTCTCTCTGCTGCCTTCATTTTTGTGTCCTTTTCTCGCTTTCCTTGAAAATTCTCCCACTTGTGTTGCATCATATGAGCAGCAGCATTATGAGCAGTTCTGCTGTCAGCAACAGCAAGAGCTCAGTGGCTAACAAAGCCAAACCTGTTATTTCTCGTATTGATGAGGGTTTGTGGTTTGGCCTAGGATATACTCCTCATGTGCCTTCCTTCCAGAATCCAAATTAAAAAGAACACTTCCTTTTGAAACAGCCAAGAGCAGAACAGGGAGAAATGCTCAATGTCTCTTGGAGCCTCCGATTGAATGTGACAAGCATCGCGTCTACTCATTTAATTGGCTCAAGCGTGGCACATGGCAAAGCCTTTGACCCAAACTCAAAAGGGCAAAATGTCAATTCAGTAAGGAAATAGTGCAAGTCTCCTGTACTTTGTGATCCTCTTATGGGGAAGGGGGAGGGAGTTCTTGGGAGTAATGACATAATTTATCACACATCCCTAAGCAATATAGTTTAGTTTTGCTTGGTTATGAACATAAGTGAATCTTACCAAAGCAAGCTGCTTTGACTCGGTAGTAAATTTGAGAGATTCATGAGTGTTTTTGTGGGAAGCTATAGTTTATGCATTTTCGTTGTGTAGTGATAATTATAATACAGTAATACATGACAATCCATAGTCTGTAGAATTTCTTTATGTGTTCTACTGTTGATGGACGGTTTACTGTGAGTATTCTTACACAGGTGGCCTAGTGGGTATGACTGTGTTTTTCCAGGAGAGAGATCTCCAAAGATTTTTGCTTGCATAACATGTAAAAGATTTTTTTGGGGGGAAAAAAACAAGAATGGTGAATATTATTAGACAACTAGAATTTCTCATCTTGTTAAAATAATCTAAAGGATTTAATTTTGACATAAATATTAAAATTTTTAAGTATAAGCTTTCGCATTACTTTAAGGAATGTATCTAAATGTGTCAAGTATAGGAATAGAAAGACCCTAATGATTGATAGTCATAACCGTTTGTTATCTAATGAACAAATCCTTCCTTAATATTAAAAATGTTATCATTCTTTTTTTCTTCTTAAAATCATATTTACATTCCTTTTCCCCAGTAAAATGTATCCTACTGGGTATTAATACAGATACCTATTTTCAAAAGTCTTTTACTGGTAACTCTACCACACTTCTATGCAGTCAAATATGTGCATAAAATTTTTCTGGAAAACTCATCTTCTGCGGGACTGAGTTACCAGCTTTTTTAAAATTAATTTTTTTTAAAGATTTTATTTATTTAATCATGAGAGACAGAAAGAGGCAGAGACACAGGCAGAGGGAGATTTAGTCTCCCTGCAGGGAGCCCGATGCGGGACTGGATCCCAGGACCCGGGGATCATGCCCTGAGTCCAAGGCAGATAGATGCTCAACCGCTGAGCCACCCAGGCGTCCCAAGGATTACCAGCTTTGAAGTCAGAGATATCTGGGTGTGGATTCTGGTTTGGTCACCTTCTAGGTATGTGAACTTGGGTAAGTTACAGTCACTTTTTTTTAAAGATTTTATTTATTTATTCATGAAAGACACAGAGAGGCAGAGACATAGGCAGAGAGAGAAGC